TGTCCCACAGTTGCCTAAGGAGAAGCAGCTGAAGGCAGTCTTGGATGTCATTCAAGGTCATTACAATCTTACACAGATGCACATTTGACTGTATTTTGTGAGTTTTCAAAGACATACTGTCACCAGTCCTCCACCTGCTTCTGGAGCCACAAGGCAGCAGATGCTTCCTTCCCCTGTAATAAACAAAATCATGGCCCTTTCATTCCTCCAAACCTCAAGGGATTTTGCCCAAGGATCCTCCCTGAATTCCCAAATGTGGAAAGCCATGTGCTATAATCTCTTGCCAAGTCTTGCCTGGAAAGGCAGATGCCCAAATAAATTCTTCAGGCCACTGAGAATTCAGGCAGAGATTCGGAGCAGGCAGAGACAGCCTCCCACTTCATTAGTGGCTCCCCACTTTGCTGTCAAGCTGTTGTGGACACCTTCTCTTCTGCTGAGAGACAGAGCCTGCTTTCTCAAATGCCATCAAGTGTTACAATGAGAAAAGGGATTCTGGTGGATGTAATCAAGACCCAGGAGCTGCTGCTGCTGCTGCTTCTTCTGCTGCTGCTCCTTCTGCTGCCCAGTGCAACAGGTGGGAGAACATGTCCCCTCAATTTCATCAAGGATCGGAATGCAATGTACAATTATTATCAGTCAGGAGATCTCAACATTGGTGGGCTTGTTTTTGCAACATCAATTAAGTTCCACCCAGCAGTCTTCTATAAGGCTCCTGTCACTAGTCTTGTTTGGTATGTCCTGAAAGTTCCTCTGCTGGTATTTCTTTCACAGATACTCAACCACCCGGTCTATCAAGGACGATTCCATTTTCCACTTTCCACTGCCTAACAAGCTGGATTCTGGAGGATGTGGTTTTACAGTTCTAGAGAGATTTTTTGACCTGAAAGAACAAGCACTTGTGCTCCTTCTAAATAAAGCCAAGAGCTCATGTGTTGTGTTGCTACGAAGGATCTGCCTTGGTGTCTTGGGTTGCTAGTGAGTTGTGTCCCTCTTCTTGAGAAGATTTCTGTCTCTAATTCTATACTAAGTACCTGGGAGAAAGCTTTATAGTAATCTAAAGATCAGCTTTTGGATAGATTTGTAATTAAAAGAGTGTCCATATTGTTGCAGATATCATGAGTTGGCTTGCAATGAAGGGAAACTGACCAGGTGACCTGTGTTTTGCTTCAGGGCAGGACCATTTATCTTCTGGTTTCTTCTGTCCTTCCTCTTTGCCACTGAGGAGATCAACCAAAACCCCAGGCTCCTATCCAATGTCACTCTGGGCTACAATTTCTATGATACCTATTATGATGCAAGGATGACCTATGATGCCATGGCAGACCTGCTCTCAACCGGGGAAGCAAGTGTTCCCAACTACAGCTGTGGAAGGAGGAGCAACCTGGTGGCAGTGATTGAAGGGGTGGAATCTGATGCTTCCAGTCAGATTTCCATCATGTCGAGCATCTACAAAATCCCACAGGTATGAATCAAGGTCGACTGGAATTAGTGTGTGTGTGTGTCTTAGTTCTGATGCTTCCAGTCAGATTTCCATCATGTCGAGCATCTACAAAATCCCACAGGTATGAATCAAGGTCGACTGGAATTAGTGTGTGTGTGTGTCTTAGTTCTGATGCTTCCAGTCAGATTTCCATCATGTCGAGCATCTACAAAATCCCACAGGTATGAATCAAGGTAGACTGGAATTAGTGTGTGTGTGTGTGTCTTAGTTTGTTCTAAGGAAGTCAAGGGGTGAATGGAAAAAGCCCCCTTCTGCATAAAGAAGGACAGCACTGGAACCGGCAAGGGAGAGGAAAGGAGTGGGTGTTACCTATGATGTCAGCTCCATCAGGTAAGCTCCATCAATCAACTCCACACAAGAAGTCAAAAACTACTTTTATTGAGATTAACTATAATAACAGAATTCTGCAAGCTTTATTGTGCTGTACCTCCTCCCCCTTCTTACACTCCTGAATTAATTAAGGAGGTATCTGTTTGAGCTTGTTCCACCTAAGTTCTGTCTGTTGTGCACTCAAGATATGTTTCATCCCTTGAGGTTTTGGTAACAGACCTTGCATGTCTCCATCAAAGCCATCTTCTTTACTCTCTTTATCTATTCTCTGCCTTTGGAAAACCCAACATGCACCTAGGTTGAGTTTGGTTTATTGAAGTTGTCCTAATGAAGAGTCTTTATGTGGTCCCTTCTAAGTGCAGGAATGTGAATGAAAGGATCTCCAAAACTGCAGCACAGCCTCTGCTTGACCATATCGCATCCTCGGATAACCCTCCGTTTTGTGCTACCAGGTCCCTCTTGGCCAAGGTGGGCCAGAGGGAGCCCTTGCAGGTTCGCCATGAAAAATGTTCTAGGTATCTGTCAGACAAAGTAGCTCGGCTTTGCTCTGTGTAGGACTCTGGCTTTGCAGATCCTTTGGAAGTGACTGAGACATGTCTGAGCCCTGTTATCTGGGAGGAGTTTGAGATGATTGATCCTAAGAAAGTGGACAGAGTCCTCATTGCTGTGGGTTCGGCAACCTGTGTTCTGGACACATGCCCCTCCTTATTGGTTAAGACCTCCTGGGAGGTAGCATGTGGTTGAGTTCAAGCAGTGGTTAATGCCTTTTTGTGGGAGGTTAATGTCACTTTGTGGGAGAGGGTGGTACCATGTGCTTTGAAGGAGGCAGTGGTGTACCCCCATCTCAAGAGGCCATTGTTAGACCCAACCATGTTAGACAAATTTCATCCAGAGGGTGGTGGGTGCTCAGCTTCAGAGGACCCTGGATGAAGCAGATTATCTGGACCTTTTTCAGTCTGAATTCAGTCCTGTGTACTGTACCAAGATGGCATTGATCGCACTTGTGGATGACCTCTGAAGAGCTCAGGATGGGGTTGGTACAACTGTCCTGGCCCTCCTGGAACTTTCAGTGACTTTTAATATCATCAACCATGGTATCCTTCTGAGCCGGCTTCAGGGAGTGGGAGTGGGAGTGGGAGGCACTGTTTTGTGGTAGTATTCCTCCTTTCTCCACATCTGGTTTCAGTTGGTGTTGGTGGGAAGAGGTCCAACTCTAGGTTCCTGCAATATGGGGTTACTCCCAGCTTGGGTCTCCCTCCTCTCCTTTTAACATTTAATGAAATCACTGGGTGAGGTCATTTGCTGGCATGGGATGTGGTATCATCAGTACGCTGATGATGCCCAGTTATAGATCTCCACACCTACCTGGAAAGGTGATGAGGTTGTGGTGCTGACTGAGGGCCTGGAGGGTACGAGGGTCAGGATCAGGAGGAACCAACTTTGACTCAGCCCTGGCAAGATGGAGTGGGTTTGGGTTTTCAGGGTCTGGTGTTATGTCATCTTTGACTCTGGACAGGGTTGCACTTCCCCAAACTGAGCTGGTGTGCAATTTCAGGGTCCTCCTGGATTCACAGCTCCTGCCCAAAGAGCAGGTGGTAGCTGTGGCTAGGGGGGCATTTGCAGAGATTCATCTTGTTTGCCAATTACATCCTTTCTTGGACTGGAGGCCTTGGTCACTTCCCTTTTGAATAATTGCAATATGCTCTACATGGGGCTACCCAGAAGCTACAACTGGTCAAGAATTCAATGACACGTTCAGTTATGGGCACCTCTAGGTTTGCCCACATTACAAACCTGTTGTGCTAGCTGCACTGGCTCCCAGTTTCCTTCCAGGAGTAATTCAAGGTGCTGATCATGACCTTTAAAGCCCTACATGGCCCAGGACCAGGCTATTTGCAGGACTGCCTTCCTGAGGGGATCTGCCTGCCCCACTAAATCAGATAGGGTGGGCATGCTTCAGGTCCCTTCCCTAAAATATTGCCATCTACAGGTAGTCCGCAACCATTTGTTAACATTAACATTAACAACCATTTGTTCAGTGACCGTTCAAAGCTATGATGGTGTTGAACAAATGGTAGTTACAACTGGTCCTCAAAGTTATGGCTGTTGCAGTGCCCCTGTAGTCATGTGATCAAAATGTGGGCGCTTGGCAGCCTGCCAGCCTTTATAACTGCAGCATGTGCTTCAGGTCCCCCTACCCACCTACCCACCCCCCCATCTCTACACTTTTGGCCAGCCTGAACTCCACCACTGCCGCCTAACCCTGATACCCTTCGCCGCCCCCAGCTGACCTTTGCTGTCTTCTTCCTGCTGCTGATGAAGCATGCCTGGCGTTGTGAGATGTCATGAAAGGCTTGCAAAGGGCCAGCAGCTCCCCCAGCAATCTAGCAGCCCCCTCCCCCCTCCCTTAGCCTTTTGGAAGGCCATTAAAACCTGGCTCTTTACCCAGGCACTGGGGTAGAATGGGGGAGCCTGCAGAGAGTTGTTGGGGCACCCTGGGAAGTTGATTGAGGCACACAGTTTTTGGTTTTTTATGGTTTTTATCGTGTCATTGTTGTGAGCCACCCAGAGTTGTTTTAAGATGGGTGGCCATACAGATCTTTTAAAATAAATGAATCAATAAGTACTCTTTAGGATATGTTCTCACCATTGGGCATCACTAACTGTATTTTTATTCTTAACAGAGGACACTCCCAGGATACTCCTGGGAGGCAACACTTTTATTTGGTACAGATTTTTTTAGCTCCTTGCTTGCAAGTAATTCTGAAGGATTATGATAAATATGAAAAGCCAGATAGAAGGAGCT